TTGACATAAACTATTTAAAGTATATTTGTATACTTGTTTAAAAATGATATGGGTATTTTTATTTGATTTAAAATTAATTTTATATTAATTTTTGGTGTCAAATAAAATACACTTTGAACATTTAAGTGGAGAAGAATTTTGAAAATCCTTCTCAAATCAAAACATACGGCCATATCAATTAAAGGTTTGACAAATTTGTTTTAACTTTCCTTGATTGATAAATTAGTGGGCTAATTGTTTTGTCATTTAGCTAATGACAAAATTAATTAAACATCTTTGTTTTATTTAAATATAACACTCCATTTGCAAATTAGTTTTGTTTTGGGTGATGGGAGATTCGGCCATACCATTTCAAGAGAGAGAATATATTAGTTTGGTTCCATTAATATCATTTTGTGTATAGAAAATATCTATAATATTTTCTAAATATTATTAGAAATATTTTCTATAGAAACATACAAGATTATTATTATCCCAAATTTTAATCTTTATATTTTATACTACTATAATCTTTACTAGCATAAAGATTGTGGTAGACTCCGTCGTTGTTCGTGTGTCAAAGTTGGAGACCGGACGCTTGGACAGTTACGTTTGCACTTTCAACGCTCTTCCTACGACTTCTTCGTTTTTACCGCTTACGGAGAAAGGTATAAATTTCTTATTTACTATAAGTTTTAGTACGTGATTCTGGGCAAGATAATCATGTTAGGATGTTAAAATTTTATATTCCGCTGCCTATCCTTGCATGGTTACCTTTCACTCTTAATGCCTCAAAACAACCTCAATATGCCTTTCCATAAACTAATTTTGGACACAATCAGATGTCTCACACAAGGTTATGCATTCTTGTCGTGAATAATTTATAAACAATCTTTTGCTTGCTTCTTTATTTATTCTAATATTTAAGTTATGTGTATTTTTTATGAATATATACCAAATCTTGAATCAATGTTTTTGTTGCCTCTCTTGTACTCAAATTTTTAGGTTCTGTGCTGTTGGGAAAATATTATAGATTTTGATGATGATGTATTTAGATTGTAATAGGGACTTTAGGCCTCCCCCAATACTCAATGTAATTTTTCTTTTTAGAAATATTGTTAAAACCGAGTTCTTGAGATTTCCAATAAAGTTGTGATATTTCTTTAAGTGGTTTGATGCTTGAAGACTTAATCAAATTATGTAATATGGAAATTGGGTATCTTGATCAGAAATGTAACAGACAAGTAAGGATTTCTCAAAGCAGATGAAAATCCTCTAATCCGGAACACTACATGATAACCGGATGTGTCGCTACAACCCGCTGAAGGCTAAGTCATTCAAATCGGAAGACTAGCACGGATCTCTTTCTCACCCGGAAGTCTGTGAATGACTCTTCTAGATTTGTCAACGAAAGAACCGGATGCCTCAAGAAAAGACTGGAACTCTCAGAAGCGGACAAGTGAGAAAAGACTTAGAAAAATTCTAAGTCTTGAATGAAGAAATTCTACCCGATGGTAAGGAAAAATCAATCTCTTGATTTTCAACGGCTAGATTGAAGATAATTAAGCTGATTCAAGAACAAATGACTTAAAGACAAAGTCTGGACCCCTCAAATTAAAGAGCTCGTCCAGAATTTCTAAACAAGCACTAGAAGACAGACTGATCATCAATCCTAAAAGGAAACAATGTATTACCAGCCAAAATAGACACCTCACACACGCGAATCATCAGTGTCAATATTGATCTAGTTCATTATAAGCCATAACCTCATAGGGGGTTTCTTTGAGACTACCTTTTTTATCCCATAGGATTCCACACTGAGCACAATGAGCCATGTCATACGCCAATGCTGGAAATGGAAGCTGTTTTTCGATGAAGTTTCCGATAATTGCTGGAATCCCTCTCTCAAGTACTAATTGGACTTGGCTACCTGAAGACTCATATGCGGCTATACACAGAGGCATCAAATTCAGGGATAGTAAATGGGCTCCAAAGCTACCAAACCCACAGCCAACATCTAACACGGTCTGCACCTGTTATCACAGATATATCTTACATCCAAGTGTAACTGTTCAAATTCATGCTTTCATTGGTATATTCACGGACTCCCTCAGTCTCATAAAACACTTTAAACTTTCCTTTTTTGGACATACCAAAAAACTATAGACCTACTTTATTTCGTATTTCGGTAGTGAATATGTGGCTCATAATGTTTCTCTCTCATCAGCTAGAAGACGGATTCTGTGAAAAAGGAATCCCTTCTCAAACAATTGGGTATGTCCAAACATCCACTCCAATGAGGAGTCTTCAATCACAATCTTCATTCAAAAATGAAGCCAGCAAATGCAACGGATAGTCTATTTTGATTCAACGGATAGATTATCCAATCCAGCTATAAATAGCAACCTTGGAAGACTGGAGAAAGAGACGACGAGATAGACGAACACAACAAAGCAATTTCTAACAACAAAGCTATCTCATTCACAGTTAGCCCAAAAAGCTTGATAAAGAGAGATTTCTAAAACTCATTATCCAGAAGTAAACTTCTCCTCCTTCCAAAGAGTTATAGTGTAAACACTTGAAGGTTTCCTTGCCTCAAGTACCACACCACGTTGAAGGATATAACTTTTGATCAAACTTCTTGATTAAAAGGGGGTAGATCAACTTTCTCACAAATTGATCTTGCAAGTCCTATTGTTTGGATCTTGCAGTTGTTGAAGAAGCGTGACCTTCGAAGGAACAACAAAGCTAGCACGAGTGCAGTAGCAACATTGGCCTTGCGAAGATATACCGTGCAGAAATTCACACAAGTGTAATTGTTGGTTCATTATTCAACAACCAACTATATAGTGGATTTTGAGGACGTAGAAGGATTACCCCACCTTCGAACTAGGGATGACAATTTTATCCGAATCCGACTTTTTCCGACCCGACCGAAGTATATAATATCCGAATCCGACCGAAAAAATAAATATCCGAAACCGACCCGAAGATTTTAAAACCGAACCCGACTTTTGTCGGGTCGGTTTTTGGTAATTAAATTTGACCGACCCGACCCGTACCCGACCGACCCGATAATTAACCCGAAATAAAAGGCCTTTTTAAAATATAAAAAAAACCTTTTTCAATTAAAAGTCTTTGACTTACGGGAGTTGCCGGTTACGGACTTGAAAAACATTTGTGAAAACTTGTTATATTTATGTGTGTTGTTTCTCTTGTGAAATATTTGTTAAAACTTGTTATACTTCCATGTTTTGGTTCTTATTTGGGACACATATTTTTTAATATCTTAATTTTACGATGTCTTTGAACGTTCAAATGTTTTTATGTATTGGAATTCTATTTATATCATTACTTGCATTTATTATTTTATCATTATTTTAATAAAAATCATTACAAAAAACTGATTTATTAGGATATTGGTATGGTCAGTCGGTCGGGTCGGTCGGTCGGTCAGTCGGGTTGGTCGGTTTTCAGGTCAGGTTAGGCTTAGGTTTTTGTCAAATTCTCGGGTTCGGTTGCGGTTTCGGGTTTCGGTTTAGGCAGTCGGGTTTGGGTTCGGGTAGAAATTTATACCCGATGGTTTGGGTTTAGGCAAAAAAAATATCCGATCAAAATTTCGGGTCGGTTTCGGGTAAGGGTATATCCGAACCGAACCCGACCCGTTGCCATCCCTACTTCGAACCTCGTTAAAGTTTGTGTCTCTTTCTCTCTTATCTTTACTCTTACTTGTAATTATATTAACTGTGAAAACTAATCCATCCATATTGATTACTGCTCATACTACCCACCAGATTCTGCACACTATCTAAAGTTCACGAGAACTCTAGATTAACATTCATTTTCACGCTTTCAGAAGAAACGAAAAAAGTTTTAAATTTGTAACAAAGTCTATTCACCCCCCCTAGACTTTGTATCTCACCACTTTGGGTCCACCAATTGGTATCAGAGCAACCGTCTCACTATCTACATGATGGAAGCACACCTTTACGCTCTACATGATTGCATGTGGATGGTGCTTGAAGATAGACCCTTGAAAATCCAAATGGAGAACCCTGAGAGGAATCCAGCCAATCCTGACGTTGTCCAGTACATTCCAAAGCCCAAGGAGAAATGGGATGATAGAGATTGCAAGAAGCACAATCTGGACAACGTCGCCAAAGCAACAATCTTCAAGACACTTGATCCCATCACCTTCTCCAAGATCAAGCATCTCAAGACTGCCATGGAGATTTGGCAAGGTCTTGGGAAGCTGTGTGAGGGATCGGAGGATCTGAGAAAGCAGAAGATACAGGTCCTACTTGAGAAGTTCAAAAGCTTCAAAATGCTTCCCAGAGAATCATTTGATATGTTGGATGAAAGATTCCACAAAATCTTAAATGATCTTGCATCACTTAACCACGTCCTTTCTCCCAAAGAAAAGAATGTAAGGTTACTGAGATGTCTTCCAACTGAGTGGTACACCAAAGCCACAGCCATGGAAGAAGGAAGAAACCTGGAGAACTACACTATCCAAGGTCTCCTTGATGAGCTCAGAACCTATGAGCATGAGCTGATGAAGAAGAAGGAAGAACAAGTCACTCCCTTCCCCACGGCATTGATGACAACTCCCAAAGTCCCACCGAGTGAAGGGACATGCCCAAGGAACTGTGACATACCTTCCTCCAGCCAGCCGACAAGCTCAAAAATGGAGAACTATGATGAGGAATTTGCCATGATGGTAAAAAAAATCCGAAAGTTCAAGAAGTTCTTCAAGAAAGCTGACTCAGTCAGAAGGCCATCCAAGGGAAAGCCACAGGTAAGTGACTCTCCTCCTGAATCTTATTTGTGCTATAACTGCTGGAAACCTGGTCATTGGAAGTCAGCGTGCCCATACCCAAAAGTGGAGAAGTATGGAGAAAGAGAAAGGAACGAAAAGAAGAAGAAAGCAATGGTTGCAGCTGAAAGTGACGAGTCATCCAGCTCAATCTCGGATGAAGAAGCCCTCGTCTGCATGGAGCGCAGAGCTGAGAAGTCCAACCATGAGGATCGGTGGACTATGTCAGAAGATGACACCCTCTGCCTAATGGCCAAAGATGATGTTGATCAAGAGGTAACTTCACAAACCTCATGTAAATCTTCTTATGAAAGCATACCAACTTCTGAAAGTCTTTTTGACAAGTTCAAAAAGATGATGAAAGATTTTGAGGAAATAAATCTCAAACACTCATCCTTAACAGAGGAGAACAAGCTATTGAGTGAAGAGAATCTCAAGTTGACTAAAGGTCGGAAAAGTCAACTAGATGAGATCACTCAACTCAAGACTGAAAATAAATCTCTCTCTGAAAAAGGTGAAATCCCTCAACAAGGAGCTTGGGATACTTAAGTCCAAAGAAGCAGTGAATAAGCTTCTTGAAGCGACCAAACAAAAGGGTCGTGAAGGACTTGGGTTTGACCCCTCCAGCTCCAAAAGGAAAAGGAGAACAACTTTCATCCCTCCTAAACCTACTGTCAAACCCAATAAGCAGAAAGGAAAGGAAAAGGAGAAACCCACAGAAGTTCCCAAAAATGTAGTCCCTCCTAAGAACTATAGGAAGCTGGACAGACCTCAAAGAGGAAATAATTTCATAAGAAAACCTTCTAACCCCCACTATACACGAGGCTATACTCATTATGGGGTAGATAGGAGTTTTCCAAGAAATTCTGAGTGGAGAACTATGCCAAAATATAGTCAACCTCCACCCTAGAAACTATTTGTTCCACCTAAGTATGCTTACAACCGACACAGGCCACACTATGCACAACCTAGACAAAACTATAGGTCTTATCCACCTAGGTTTGCTAGGTGGAAACAGGAAATTGCACCAGCTGCTCGTAGGAATTTTTATGCATACAATTATGATTACAATCCCAACAAGTTTAGGGCTACAAGGAAAATTCCCTGCAACTTCAAACTTGATGTAGGGACACACACCATTAACTATTCCGGACCCAAACTGAATTGGGTACCAAAATCTTCCTCCTCCTAATGCAGGAAGCCGCTAAGTACCCAGGTGTCTGGTACTTAGACAGTGGCTGTTCAAGACACATGACGGGTGATGCGAGTCTTTTGAGCAATCTAATTCCCTATGATGGTCCAAGAGTTACTTTTAGAGGAAGCAATGATTTTGGTCTTACTAAGGGTCTAGGAAATCTAGTGTACAAAGGACTAATCATCCAAGCTGTATCTTATGTTGAAGGTCTCAACTATAACCTTCTTAGCATAAGTCAGTTTTGTGATAAAGGTTATTCCTTGGAATTCTGCAAAGACATGGCATCCCTCAAGAACATCTCCACAAATGAAGTCATTCTTACTGGGAAGAGAATCAGAAACATCTATGAAGTAATGTGGGATGATGTCAAGGAAGCTTGTCTAATCAGCAAAGGTGACACTAACCTTCTATGGCTTTGGCATAAGAGGATGAGTCATCTCAACTTCAAAACTCTCAACAAGCTGTCCAAAGAAGGGTTAGTAGTTGATGATTACTCCAAAGAAAAGCATTTGTAATGCTTTCCAGAAAGGAAAGCAAGTCAAGTCCACTTTCAAGGCAAAACTGGCACCCTCAACTACAAGGATATTAAGTCTTGTAGTTAATGATTACTCAAGATACACGTGGACAATCTTCCTCAACAGAAAGAAGGAAACTCAAGGGAAGCTCACAAACTGCATGAAGCTGATTCAAAATCAAGCAAGTCAGACCATCCAGAAGATCAGATCTGACAAAGGCGTAGAATTCCTGAATGAAATCATCATTCATTACTGTGAAGAAAATGGAATTCTTCATCAGACATCCGCAGCAAGGACGCCTCAACAGAATGGTGTAGCAGAAAGAAGAAACAGAACCTTGAAGGAAGCAGTAAGAACCATGCTAGCAGAAGCTTTCTTGCCAAAAAGGTTCTGGGCTGAAGCTGTTAACACAGCTGGCTATACTCAAAATAGGAGTATGATTTATAAAAGGCACAACAAAACTCCCTATGAATTGTGGAACGAGAGAAAGCCTAATATATCATATTTCCATATTTTTGGGAGCAAGTGCTTTGTGTTAAACAACGGGAAGAATCATCTGAACACTTTTGATGAGAAATCAGATGAGGCCATCTTCCTTTGATATTCCATGGTGAGCAAAGCGTTCAGAGTTTTCAACAAAAGAACCATGATCACTGAAGAGTCAATACCTGTTATTTTTGATGAAAAACATGTGGTTGACAAGCCTTCAAAGCATGATCATGAGGTTCTGGATCTCTCAAACAAGCATGAAGAAGTCAATGAAGGAGATAGGATGAAACCTACGGAGTTCATTCCATTCGGAAGTCTACCACTGAAGACTTCATAAAGAAATCCGTATTCAGACGGTGCTGAGCCTACCGGAAATCATGGTCAGCCTTCCAATATCCCGGATTACTCACATGGCGACAATTCTGAAAATGGCGACCTAGTGCCAATCCATCCGGAATCACCAACAAACTCTGTTCTTCAACCAGAAGCTGAACTAGATCAACCAGTCAACCCTAATCAACACAATCTTTTTTGGTTAAGGGATCATCCTCCTCAACAAGTCATTGGAGATATTCAATCTGGCGCTCGCACAAGGAGTGCTCAACAGAATCTAGAAGCTATGCTTGCTTGTTTCATCTCACAAGTGGAACCAAAGAATATTGAAGAAGCTCTAGCTGATTCTGATTGGATCAATGCAATGCAAGAAGAACTCAACCAATTTTCCAGAAATGACATCTGGAAACTTGTTCCCAGACCTACTCATCAACATGTCAATGGGACAAAGTGGGTCTTCCGTAACAAGATGGATGAAAACGGCGTTGTTGTCAGAAACAAAGCCCGGTTGGTTGCAAAAGGTTATTGTCAAGAAGAAGGTATAGATTTTGATGAAACCTTCGCTCCAGTTGCTAGACTTGAAGCTATAAGGTTGTTTCTATCCTTTGCTCCTCACAAGGACTTCAAAGTCTATCAAATGGATGTCAAAAGCGCATTTCTCAACGGAAACCTAGAGGAAGAAGTTTATGTGGAACAACCTCCAAGATTTGAGTTACACACTAAAGGAGATCAAGTGTACAGACTCAAAAAGGCGCTATATGGACTCAAACAAGCACCAAGAGCTTGGTATGATACATTATCTCAATTTCTCATAGACAATGGATTCATCAAAGGAGTCATTGACAAGACCTTGTTCAAACTTCAAGATGGAGGAGATATCTTATTGGTCCAAATCTACTTCCTTGGTCTTCAAATCAAGCAAAGAAGTCAAGGAATTCTCATCAACCAAGCCAAGTACACAAGGGATCTTATCAAGAAATTCAAAGTTGATCAAAAGTCATCCGTCTCTGTCCCCATGAGTACATCCACCAAGCTTGATATGGATGAAGATGGAAAGGATGTTGATCAAACTCTCTACAGAGGAATTGTTGGATCTCTACTCTACCTTACTGCAAGCCGTCCAGATATCTCATATGCAGTAGGTGTTTGTGCCAGATTCCAGTCAAAGCCAAAGGAAAGTCATCTAATAGCAGCCAAAAGGATTCTTAGATACCTCAAAAAACCTCAGAACATGGGTTTGTGGTATGCTAAGAGCAGTTCATTTGATTTAGTAGGATACTCAAATTCTGACTTTGCCGGATGCAAAGTTGACCGGAAAAGTACATCTGGTACTTGTCAATTCATTGGTGGAAATCTTGTTTCTTGGTTCAGTAAGAAACAAAACTCCATCTCTACATCAACAGGAGAAGCAGAATACATTGCTGCTGGTAGTTATTGTGCTCAAATCTTGTGGCTAAAACAACAACTGCTGGACTATGAAGTCAAGACAAGAGAAGTGACAATCTTTTGTGACAATCAAAGTGCTATAGCCATCTCAAAAAATCCAGTGCATCATTCTCGCACCAAGCACATTGATGTCAAGCATCACTTCATCAGAGATCATGTGGAAAAGACAGATATCAAAATTGAGTTTATCTCAACTGAAGAACAATTGGCGGATATCTTCACAAAACCTCTAAGTGAAGCCAAGTTTTCTGATTTGCTTCACAAAATTAGTCTAATTCAATTAGAGTGAGTGCGGTACACGTGGCAGTCCACTTTCCACGTTTGTCAACATTTTCAAATATCTAAAAGGTTTTAAACTCAAACACGAAGGATTAAGGGAATTTTGGAAAAATCAGAACAGAGTTACGGTACCCCTAGCAGTACCCCACACGGTAGGGTATACCGCCTACACGGTACCCCCATACCGTGTAACGGTACCTAGGTACCGACGGTAGGCGTAGACGGTTGGCCGAACCCATCCTAACCAGGTACCGCCAGAGGCGAACCAAACTTTTGGAAGACACAGTACCCCCAAACAGTAGGCTATACCGTGGTCACAGTACCTAGGTACCGGACGGTACAGACCCTACCGTGAAGGGTACCGGATATGTTGTAATCACTGTAGCAAATTGCCAATTTAAATTCAAAATCACCCCTAATCACCTCCCAACGGCTAATTAACATCTTCCACTATAAATACAAGCCTAATCCTTCATATTTCTTCAAGAAACAAAGCTCTAAACATCCTCTCTTTTTATTCTAAGTGTGTTCATCCTTTTATTAATTATTTTTAATATTTTGGCTATTTTAAGAGCCTTAAATTCCTGATTTTTATACACACACTTTGAGCTTGTGTTTCTAGTTATATACTCTCATATTCATAAGTTTGAATTGTATTTTTGAGAGAGTATACTTTCCTTCTACTCCGTCTAAGTTTTGTTCTTCATTTTAAAATTCTAGCCGTTGTGTAGAATCCTTGATTGTGTTCATCAAACACACTTTCTTACGATCGAGAATAGCCGTTAAATTCTCACGTTGTAACGGTTGAGGATAGCCGTAGAAATCCTTGGGTAAAGGTTCATGGATAGCCTTTGAAATCCTTGGGGGAACGGTAGAAGATAGCCATTAAATCTTCGTTGTAAACGGTTCGAGATAGCCGTGGTGAAATCTCGGAGTGAATCCTATTGGCAAGGGTTGTTTGCCAAAACTAGTGTGGTGCTTTGACGAAGTTCAAGAGGTCGGGACTTAGTGGATTCGGAAATCCTTGAGGAGGAGCCTCGAGGTACTGGAGTAGGGAGTTCCCGAACCAGTATAAATTCGGTGTGCATTTTACATTACGCTTTTATTTCTGTGTTTTATATATTGCTTCCGCATTTGCCAACACCGTTTTTATCAAACTCCGAAAAGATTTTAAACACCTTATTCACCCCCCCCCCTCTAAGGCGTGGGCACAACGTCTAAACCGACTAACATTTGTATATCCTACTTTAAAATATAAGCAGAAGATAATATCATAATTTTATATTCAATATTGGTTTTGTTATGTAGATCTCGACGAGAGGTTTCTTATGACATATTATTTGTCAAGAACAGACTTATATACAAAAAATTATACATATAATAGACATTATAATGCAATAGTTAAATGAAATGAAAATTAATATAATAATACTCCATATAATAATATTCCTAGATTGAATGATTTACGGACACTCCATAAATGCATCATGAATAATGATTTTACCAAATTGCCCATATGTAATCATTTCTCCCTATTTTAGTGGAGTCGTGTCACTCCTTCCATAAATAAAATTGAAGTTAATTATGGAGACTTTTAAAAGTTTAGCCATCCGATGAACTAGATCTAATGGTTAACATTCATTCTCATTTCTTTCACCAAGAGTCATTCTCACCTTAACCAACCCCTATATATAGGAGCCGGTTCCCGTGAGAATGCACCTTGTGGAGAGAAATGAGAATAGAATCTAGCCGTTGGATCTGATGCATCGTGCGGCTCATATTGCATCTTGCGCTCAGATTTTAAGATAGTGCATTTTCCAAGGACTTTGGTGCATTTCAACGTGATGCATTTTCAAACCATTTTGGTGCACCTTGTTAGACAAATGTGCAACTCTAGAGGGGGGGGGGGGGTGAATAGAGTTGTTCTCAAGAATGTGCGTTTTTCGCGTGTGTAAAATAATACAATCGCAGGAATAAAATAAAGAGAGTAAGAGAGAGAAGAACACCGAGATTTATACTGGTTCACCACCTCGTGGCTAATCCAGTCTTCCGAGAGACTCTCTCGAAAGTCCTACTAATCTTCAAGCTTCAACGGGTGCTTGAAAAACCGGTACAACTTGAGAACTTGAATCACACAAGCCTCACTTTCTTACAACAACAAGACTTGAGTCACACAAGTCTTACGAACAACACTTAAAAGAGATTGAGTTTACAACACAAGGATGAAAGCTCACACAATTGAGCAAGTAGTGTTTGAAAGATTTAAGCTCTATGGATGACAACTTCTTTAGCACTCAAAGAAAATATTTCTAACTCAAAAATAATATTTTGATGAGGAAGATGAAGCAAAGGATTAATATAGCTCAAAGAATATATTGGAGTGCAAGAGGTGTATTTTGAAATGAAGGAGAATGAGGCATTAAATAGGCTGAGGAAAATAAAGCCGTTGAAGAAAGCTGATGTCTTGTACCAGAGAGAATTAATCGATTAAATTAGGAATTTTAATCGATTAAAGTGTACAGAAGCGAAAAAGGCGTGAAACCAAAAGTGGAATTAATCGATTAAAAATGAGGGAATAATCGATTATTCTGTTCTGTTTGAACTAATCGATTAAATGAATAATTTTAATCGATTAAGTTGATTTGCCT